CTTCGTTGCCCCGTCGGCTAGGCGGACTCGTGTCCTTACGTTTCGTACTTTCCCTTCCTTGCTTAGCTCCTTCACAGTCCGCTGGCTGACGAAAGAGCGGGTTGCCCCGGTGTCAAGGGTCGCTGACAATGGTATTCCGGCGATGGTTACTAGTGCGGCGATCCTTCCCCCCTCCAAGCTTAGGGGATGCCTTACTCCTGGGGGTCCTGGATGGGTGTCTCCGTTCGGGTCCCTGCCGGACGGAGACTCAGTCCGTTTCCCGGCCCGGATTGACGGCAGCATTCGATTGTCCGGATACCCCGGCGGCCACACTCCCAGCAAAATAACACGCGTCGATTCCTGCAGGTGTTACTGAAATGGCCTTCCTCGCCGCAATTCCGGCAGGCTCGTCGTACGTCCACCGATCTGGCTCCATCCTGAGTCGTCACGCGGTTAGCTGTCTCGGTACCTCGGGAGGCTCCTGTCTCGTCGGATGCGGTGCGCTGCGGAGCCGATGTTCCGCGTCCTTGGTGCGAGGGCACTCTTGGTTTGGTATCCGTGAGGTTGCTGATCGAGTGGGTCTGTCCGCGGTCCCTAGTCGTCTCATATGCCACTATCAATTGCGAGAGCTCCCTCAAAGTCTCGAACTCGTATCTCCTGGTGAAGAGTTGATATTCGGGCCTCAGGTTCTCGTATATTCTGTCCAGCTCTCTGTCCGGAGTATATTGGGCACGTTGCATCATAAGTCGGAGGTCAATCAGGTAATCCTGGAATGACTCATTGGGTCGCTGGTACCGGCTTCGGATCGTGTCTTCTAGACGCTGAAAATATCTAGGGGGCAAGAAGAAATCGAGGAACTCCTGCCGGAATTCGTTCCAGGGCTTCCCTTGCATCTGGAACGATCTAAACCATCCTTCCGCTTTGTTGGTTAGCAGTCCGGAGATGGCTCGAGGCAGCTTTTCGGGGCTCCCTCCATAGGACTCCACACGCTCTTCTAGTCGTTCGATGAACGCTAACGCGTCCGAGTGTCCGTCGAACTTCAATCCCCAGCTGCGTAATTTGTCGGCAAGTATGGCGTACGAGATTTCTTCCCTATCGGGCCGCGAAGCTCGGAGTCCTTCGGCAGAGTGTAGCTCGAAGTTGTCTTCGCTGAGTTTCCGTTCGGCCGTGGCTTCCTGGTGGTTAAAGTCCTTGGGTCCGGGTTCTTTAAGCAACGGTGGGATGTCGATTAATAAGGGCTGCTGCAGTTGGGCCCCCTCTTTCTGGGCTCGGTTGCTGGGTCCAGGTGACGGGGAAGGGGTTTTGTGCATACTTGTACTCGGAGCACTGCTGTACATCGTTCCTAGTTCCTTTATCCGTTGTTTGACCATCTCCGGGTATTCTCCCCGTGAGATAAATGTTAAAATCCGGCTACGTAACTCGTCCTTGCTGCCGTTTGCATCAAGGCCAAGCTCTACGGCTATGGCCTGCAGCTCGTCCTTGTGCCTATATGAAATCCACTGCAAACCCATATGACCTTTGTAATTGCTGCTCCTTGTATTCATGATCGATAGTCTTTTAGTCCCGTGTGCGTTGTGTCTCCGGTTGAGGCTGCTTACTGACTGCTGGCTATCCTGATCGTTGCTGGTCTGCTGGTGATCCTGGTCGTCGCGGCTCCTTGTGCTCGTGATCGATGGTCTTTTAGTCCCGTGTGCGTTGTGTCTCCAGTTGAGGCTGCTTACTGACTGCCTGGTTCTGGCTCGGTGTCCGAAATATATAGCCCGGCCGCTGACTGCGTCTCTGCCGCTGGCTGCGTTTCTGCCGCTGACTGTGTCTCTGCTGCTGACTGTGTTTCTGCTGCTGACTGCGCCTCTGCTGCTGACTGCGCCTCTGCTGCTGACTGTGTTTCTGCTGCTGACTGTTTCGAGAGGTTAGGGAAGCCAGGCTCGGCCGTACGTGAAAATTTGGGCAACTTTACGTGCGGTTAGCAACGACAGCGACAATACAATCATTCTACTCTTATCAACGTCGACCGACCCCGCCGCTGCGCGTCCGGCACGCTGGCATGACTGCCACGCGGCCACTGGAAGAACCTGATTCAACTGGCTGGAACCCCCCGTTCTTTCCCTTCTAGCTCAATAACACACCCCTTGGCCACTCAAAACACCTCGGAAGTCTCGGAGTCCCTGCTCGGGCGCCATCTGTAAGGATGCGATCTAGGCTGGGGTATAACTCTCAGTCAAGCCAGGGTCGAAATTACAGCCATATTTATAATTTGCCGGGACTCCGAGTCATGAGTGGCCATGGGACGGAGATTTCGTCTCGGGGATGCCAAGGCCAAGGGAAACGTGCGAAAGGGGGGTAGAACGGTCGAGATCTTCTGTAGAGTGCCTGGGCAGTCGCCGGGCGGCACCTTGGGGAAACTACAGGGCAAGGGGAAGGAGAGTAGGCGCAGAGACCCTCCCAAAGATACCTGGGCAGTCGCCGGGCGGCACTTCGGGGAAGGTACAGGCTGCGGGGGAAGGGAAACAGCCATGATCGCCAGAGGATGCCTGGGCAGGCCCGCACCTCACTAAGGGCAGGGGAGGAGGTAGCCAGGCCTGGCTGGCAGTCGCCGGGCGGCACTTCGGGGAAGGTACAGGTCTGCGGGGGAAGGGAAACAGCCATAGATCGCCAGAGGATGCCTGGGCAGTCGCCGGGCGGCACCCCCGGGAAACTACAGGGTAAGGGGAAGGAGAGTAGGCGCAGAGACCCTCCCAAAGATACCTGGGCAGTCGCCGGGCGGCACTTCGGGGAAGGTACAGGTCTGCGGGGGGAAGGGAGACAGCCATAGATAGCCAGAGGATGCCTGGGCAGTCGCCGGGCGGCACCTCGGGGAAACTACAGGGCAAGGGGAAGGAGAGTAGGCGCAGAGACCCTCCCAAAGATACCTGGGCAGTCGCCGGGCGGCACTTCGGGGAAGGTACAGGTCTGCGGGGGGAAGGGAGACAGCCATAGATAGCCAGAGGATGCCTGGGCAGTCGCCGGGCGGCACCTCTGGAAAACTACAGGGTAAGGGGGGGAAAACACGCACAGATCGACAGAGGATGCCTGGGCAGTCGCCGGGCGGCACCTCTGGAAAAACTACAGGGCAAGGGGGGGAAACACGCACAGATCGACAGAGGATGCCTGGGCAGTGGCACCGGCCAGCCCCAGAGGGAGAGCCACCCTTCAGGGCTGGGGGGGGCCTGGGAAGGTACAGGGCAAGGAAGGGGGGGAGGCCCTCCCGAGGGGTAGCCAGGTGGGCAGTTGCGGGCGCACTTGGGGGAGGTACAGGTCTGCGGGGGAAGGGAAACAGCCATAGATCGCCAGAGGATGCCTGGGCAGTCGCCGGGCGGCACCTTGGGGAAACTACAGGGCAGGGGAAGGAGAGCAGGCGCAGAGACCCTCCCAAAGATACCTGGGCAGTCGCCGGGCGGCACTTCGGGGAAGGTACAGGTCTGCGGGGGAAGGGAAACAGCCATAGATCGCCAGAGGATGCCTGGGCAGTCGCCGGGCGGCACCTCGGGGAAACTACAGGGCAAGGGGAAGGAGAGTTGGCGCAGAGACCCTCCCAAAGATACCTGGGCAGTCGCCGGGCGGCACTTCGGGGAAGGTACAGGTCTGCGGGGGGAAGGGAGACAGCCACAGATAGCCAGAGGATGCCTGGGCAGTCGCCGGGCGGCACCTCGGGGAAACTAAGGGAAGGGAGGGGGGAGAGGGCAGAGACAGATGCCTGGGCAGTGGGGGGGCCTGGGGGGGGGGGGGAAAGAGTGGGGGGGAAAACTACAGGGCAAGGGGGGAGAGAGGCGAGAGAAAAGCTGGGCAGTCGCGGGGGCACCTCTGGGAGGGTACAGGCGCGGGGGAAAGGCAGATCATCAGAGTATGCCTGGGCAGTCGCCGGGCGGCACCTCTGGAAAAACTACAGGGCAAGGGGGGGAAAACACGCACAGATCAACAGAGGAGGCCTGGGCAGTCGCCGGGCGGCACCTCTGGAAAAACTACAGGGCAAGGGGGGGAAACACGCACCGATCGACAGATGAAGACGCGCTGGTAGTTATTTAAGTTCCATTTTTATTTTATCTCTTCTTCTTCCTCTTCTCCTGCCTAACCGCACCGCTCGCCAGCCCTCTTCCTCACGACGGTGAGACTTGCTCACCCTTTCCTAGCTCGCCGTCAATATCTGTTTTCTTCTTCGTCTTCTTGGCTGCTTCCACTGGCACGTCCGTTCAGCTCGCTGGTCTGGAATATCTCTGTTTTCCATGTGCTTGCGATCTTATAAACCCACCCTTGTGGTGCTGGTGATTGAGCTTTCGCTCTCTGCTCTCCCGCTCTCTCTGCTGATGCTGGTGGTAGAGCTTTCGCTCTCTGCTCTCCCGCTCACTCTGTACAGATGTTGGTTGGTTGAGGTTCGTGTCTCCACTCTGTACTGATGTTGGTTGGTTGAGGTTCATGTCTCAACCTGTACTGATGTTGGTTGGTTGAGGTTCATGTCTCAACTCTGGAGCTTTTATCAGTGCTATCAGTGATGCCCGAGCGATCACTGTGCTTTTCCCTCCCATCTAAGTCACGACCGAGCAAGTACTTAAACTAATTTTGATTAATGCCATAGCTTAACTACTAACAAATGCCGTCACTTAACCTAATAATGAAAATAAAACATAATAATAACAAAAAAATAGTAACTAATAATAAGAGATCCTTCATGGTGAAAAAAATAATGTGGGGGAGCGTCTGCTCCTTCACAGTCTTTGAATGCAAAAAATTTACCATGCTTAAAATCCCGCCATAACTAACACTGACAAAACCGCCTGAAACTTTTTCAGCAATCAGCTGATAGAAAATAATAATCGAATAAAATATTAATTAGTGGCTAGAAATGTTTTCTTTTTGTACGGCCGATTACTTTTCAGACCGCCCTAGTATACTGATTGAGTACCGGGTATTCTATTATAACTATCTCTTATCCTTTTCATCGCTTATCACTTTCAATCAAATTTTTTTAATATATTTTATATTTATAGTCATGGTATGATTACAAACTTCGATGGGAGCCGAAAGAGTATGGAGGAGTGCATATGTTACATGTACCATCTGATCATATTTGGCGACCGGATATCGTTCTCTATAATAAGTAAGTAAGATAAATGTAAATTACATTTAAATAATACCTATTACTTTAGTTTTATAAATTCGACCGTTTTTTTAATGTTCGTTCTACGTCAAAATTTGAATAAAAGTTTACAAAAGAATGTCGTCCAATCGTAGAACATTTATATTGTAATTAAAGAAACCCATTTTCGGCGATTCTGGAACATTTTTTCCCCAAGAAATACTAGAGCGAAAAGTTCGTATTAGAAACCTTTCATTTAAAGCAAATTAAAAATTAGGTAAATAAGATTTTTACAAGGTTGTGTCTTCGTTTAACGCGCTCTATAGTTTGGTCTTATTTCACTCAGTATTCTCTTGCAACTTCATGGCGTCGAAAAGCTTTTAGTAGTGCAAAATAAGACCCGAAACAGAGCGAAAACGTGTCGTATAATTGTATTTTTTCATCATGGCTCAGGGTATGTACGTTTTGTCAGCAGTCGTTTTGTGTGGTTCACTTTGGAAATTAAGTAAACCTTTTTATAATTTTTTCTTTTATTCTATGTACTTCCAAATCGGGTTAAGCACATTGGGGAATTAGAAAAAATACTTTTTAATGTAACTGTTTGACCACTCCAAGAAATTTGAAGTTTTATAACTGTTTCACAAAGTAACACACATTTATAAAATTAGCAGGAATTTAAAAATTCCCGCTTTCATAATCATGCAATGCTATAATCAGGTAATTTCATAATGGGACTAAATACGTTTAAAACTACTATAAATTCCGGTCCAACAACAAAAAACAACTTAAACAAATTATAAAACAAATAGTCAATAATTATTGACTTAGAAATATAATCATGAAAATAGGCCTGATAAAGCCATATTGAATTTTATCGTCAGACTTCTTCTTATTTTTAGACTAAATCTTACTTAAACACCAAATGACGACAAGGCTCATGACGTTAATTAAATTAAATTTAAATTAAATGTACATACAGCGATCGATAAATATATCCTGTATGGAAAACTATGCTCGTCGATATGTACCTATGTAAATGTAAAGTCTTGCAGCTGGATGGCCCGCTTCAAACAATAAATGTACACCTTATGCGCGTATTTATTCAGCTAAAATTCATGATTTTTTTTACCATTGATATGTCGGCTATCGACATAAGCCAACAACAATGCAACATGCTCCAAGAAAATTATTTTTTTTTTGTTTTTATTATTACGGGATTTTATTTATCGAATCTTCCCTATTAGAGACTTACGACAAGTATACAAATCTTAGCCTAATATATTTATTTAATTAGTTACACTTAATTACTTAGAGTACGTCCCTAGCTAAGTATTATTGCTGGGTGGGAAGGTCTCTTCGCCGGAGTCGTGTATGGCTAGTGTGCCAAGTTAAAGACTGCGCAAGTCTATTAGGATGGGCTTGAAGCTTGGCCTGGTACTTTGCTTTCACTTTGGCCATTTCATCTTTAACTGATCCTACATTTAAGTCTTTATAGATATTTTCATTCCGTATGTACCATGGTGCCCCAGTGATAGTTCTTAGTATCTTCGATTGAGCTCTCTGGATTATTTCTAAATTACTAACGCAAGTATTTCCCCATAGCTCAGAGCCGAATGTCCAGATGGGTTTGAGAAATGCATTGTACAAAAGTACTTTGTACTCCAGTTTTAGTGATGAACGGGTGCTTATTAGCCAATGTAGATTACTAGCTTTAAATTTAAGTAGATTTCTCTTCGCTTCGATGTGCTTACGCCAAGTAAGCCTTCTATCCAGATGTTAAGCTATTTTACTTCGGTGGTTTGTGGAATGTTGATATTGTTCAGACATAATGGAGGGCAAGTTTGTCTGTTTAACGTGAAGGTGACATGCTTGCACTTTTGCTCATTTACATGTATCCGCCAGTCTGCTAGCCATTTTTCTAAGGCCACGAGATGAGATGATAAGTGATCCGTGGCCCTTCTTGGGCACTTGGAGCGACTTGGTCGAAGTTGTGGTTAGGCTGTTTGTCGGTAGATCTGCTGTGAATATGATATACAGTGTCGGTCCAAGCACGCTGCCTTGCGGTACACCAGCTTCAATTGGATGATATTCAGAGAGGAAATCTTTGCATCGTACTGCGAAACTTCTTTGCTGTAGGTATGACTCCAATATTCCATGGATGTTCTGTGGAAGTAATATTTTGATTTTGTGGATTAAGCCATCTAACCAAACGCAGTCGAAAGCCTGGGCGACATCCAGAAAAACAGCGGAGCAATACTCCCGTCTTTCAAATGCATTTCGTATCTCAGAGGTTATACGGTTTACTTGTTCAATGGTTCCGTGTTTTTCGCGAAATCCAAATTGGTGAGTCGGGATGGCACCGTTGATGTGTAGGTGTTGTTTGATACGATTCAGGAGCAGCTTTTCAAATATCTTTGATAGGCATGGCAGTAGGCTGATAGGTCTATATGATGATGGCTTGGACTTGTCTTTTCCGGCTTTATGGATCATTGTGATGACTGATTTCCTCCATTCTTGAGGATAATAGCTCCATTTCATCATGCTGTTGAATATCACAGTAAGGAAATAAACTGCACAGCTCGGCAATTCTATGATCATTTTAGGAGAGATGAAATCGTGGCCCGGAGCTTTCTTTTGCTTTGAGATTTGGTCTTTAATGACCCTTGTGACTTCTCCTGATTGGAATATGATAGGCGGAGTAGCTTCGGGATTGTTGGTTGGTGGGAGCACAAAGCTATTCGTTGCTGGGTGTGGTTTGAAGACGTTTTCTAGATGGACGGCAAATGTATTTGCCTTCTCTTTGTTGCTGCGAGCCCACTCTCCTGTTTGTGTACGCAAAGGTGATTCACTCTCGATTGGTGGGCATACGCCTGATTTTGCTTACCACAGTGGGAATCGTTTGCTAGTTGGGGAGAGTTGCTCCATATAGGATATTTGAGCTCGGTTTTTTTCATCTTCTAGGGCTCTGCGTAGTAGTTGGTTGGCTATTTTTAGCCGCTCTTTCGAGGCAGGTGATCTGTGTGCTTGCCACTCTCGGCGAAGCCTTCTTTTATCGCGTAGCAGCACATCAATGTGCCAATACGACTGCTGTTGGAAAGTTTATTAGATGCTAATATTGGTGTTGAGTGTTTTGCCGCCAGTGACATTGAGGAAACCAATGCTTCGACTGACCTATCAATGTCATCTTTACAATTAATGTTTGGGCAGCTATCAATATGAGAGATTATGTACTTCCTGTATTTGGACCAATCTGTTTTGCTAGAAGTTAGAAAGTGTGGGCGTTCTGAAAGCTGTAGATGGTCGTAAAGGTGAACTAGAATGGGCGAGTGATCCGATGATAGATCTGTTAAGTGATCTACATTAATCTGAGCTTGCAGCACCCTTCGTGTAACTGCAAAACCAATCAAGTCGGGTTGCTTGTTTGGATCTGTAGGCCAATATGTGGGCTTGCCCGGATAGATAAAGTCTAGCTTGTTTCGTGGGGTTATTATAGCGTTATATAGTTGTCTTCCTTTCGGGTTGGTAAGTCTAGTTCCCCAATGGGTATGCTTGGCATTGTAGTCACCAGCTGCTATAAATCGGTCACCTAGTAGGTCGAAGAATGTTACAAATTCTGTTTCGGAAATGCAGAAGCGTGGTGGGCAGTATACTGCGGCTAGGTTTAGGTAGCCGCTCTGAATTTCATTATGAATTGCTGTTGCCTGTAGATAAGGTGTAGCAAATGAAGGCAATGGATAATGCCTAATGCGATTCTTGATCAGAACGCCAGTACCTCCATGTGCCTTACCACCGGGATGATTTGTCTCATAGAAGTTATAGCCAGCGAGGTGAAAATAGTTTTTATTTGTTAGGTGAGTCTCTGATATGAGCATAGCGTCAATGTCGTGTTGAGCGAGGAACTGTAAGAGCTCGCATTTGTGCTGAGAAATGCCATTTGCATTCCAGAAACATATATTTAGACAGGACATTTTAACAGATTTCTGTTTGATAAGGAGCTCCAGGAGGAGATTTTGGTTGCGCATAAGCTCCTGCATCGTTTGTTGTATTGCTACCATTGTGTTTGTTATAGTTACCAGCATTGACTCAATTCCACTAGGCAATTGGGATGGATTAGCAGGGGTATGTTGGGCAGAGATTTCTGGGATCTGATTTGATGCCTGATTCTGCATTATTCCAGCTGTGGTTGGTTGAAGTGTCGGCTTAGAGATTGAGGCGTACGACCCGTTGTTGTAACTTAACGCCTGAGCAAAAGAAACTCCTGGAGTCGTAGTTGATGGTATATATGGTAAGTTTTGTCGGACGACCGGGTTTCGAGCTGCAGTTATTTGTTGGTTTAGGCGATTTTTCAATTCTTTATAGACAGGACAACCTCTATAGTTGGTAGTATGGTTTCCCCCACAGTTGCTACATTTTTTGGCAGATGGGTCCTCCTTATTTACGGGGCAGGCCTCAGTGAGATGAACATCACCACAGGCAACGCAGACTGCCCGTAGAGTGCAATAGGTTTTCGTGTGTCCATATTCCTGGCAATTTGTGCATTGGACCGGTCCATTTTGTCTGTGTGGTTCCACAACGGTGATCCTACGGTGCAGTAGGTATTGAAGCTTGTATATTGGGTGAACTTCATTTTTACTTATATGCATACTTTCAGGTGTCAGTTCTATTTTGAACATTGGCTGGGGAATTTTATTTCTATTTATTATGTTCATAGCCATATTGACTTTGAAACCCTTATCGTTAAGTCCATCTATTATCTCATTGATTGGGACTGTTGGTTCGATTCCTTTGATAACCACTTGTAATCCTTTGCTACTTTTAAGTTGGTAGGTGCAGTAATTCATTTTTTCATTTTCGAGGTATTTCGCAACTGATCGATAGTTTTGTTCGTCATTGACTTGTATTTTTGTTTCATTTATATTACCCCATTTTATGTACGTGACATAGAATGTGTTTGCGCCAATTGTATCAGTTATTTTTTTGACCAGTTCAGCACAATTTGCCTGTCGAACATAAATAGGTGGTGGTCTTAATTTTTTGGACTTGGGTGTTTGGGTGATCTCATCTTCATTTGGGACACTTAGTATCGCAAATCTATTGTTTGCTAGTGCCTTATGTGGCACAGTGTTCTCGGTCATTTTAGTTATTTTAGCTGCATTGTTGTTCTTCACATTTTGTGGGCTCAATTTTCTTTTGATTTGCACATAGCGATCGAGCCCAGTCTGAATTAACGCTCCGTTAGCATTTTTTGAACTTATTGGTTGCGAGAGTTGGGGCTTGTCGCAGTGGTTCGACAGTATCGGGCGCTGAGCAATTGCAGTGGTTGTTGTTGTGGTTGTTGTGGTCGAAGACACAGTTTTGAGCGAAACCATTGTACTAGTTGTTGTCGATATTAGCAAACCGCTGGTTAGGCAGTACGAGTCGGGGGATGGGCACTGAGCACTCCATGACCCACTTTGCAATGCAGGGGAGAGAGAGTGTGCTCTCTCCTCGTTCACTTGCAGTGATGCAGTTTTTGTTGGTACTGCTGCCTTTGGCGAGCGTATAGAGAATTACGCGTTGTTTTTTTGCCTGCGAGAGCCGACGCTCGTCTTGTTGTTGTTGCCGGGCTTGGCTCATTTTGGCTTTGGTTACAGTGCTTGTGCTCTTTACCGAGCTGGTGCTCTTAAACGTTGACATTTGTTCTTTTCTATTATTTCTATTAATCTTTATTACTCGATTGGATGGTATTCATGGGCAGCACGATCACTAGTACCCATGCCTACCCCGAGCGCTTTTTCGCGAATTAATTTATGATTAATCGCGATTAATTGATTTATTTGATTTTCACCGCGGAGCGATACAAAAATACGTCTGTAAGTCGTTGACGGTTGACGCACCAAGAAAATGGGTCGTACTATTTTTACGCTCCATTTCTGAAAATCTGATGCATGAATGTATTCATCATAATCACTAGCTATGTGCGTTCACCAGTTATATCGTATCCCTGATCCCCCTGGTCAAGTTGTGTTGGTAAACACACCCCTTGTATGTATCTTATGTAACTTATGTATCTTATATCTGGTTGCCTAGAGCTTGGAAAGTTCTGAAAAGCTGAAAAATTCAGCTATAAATCCGACTCAGACTCTTTGTAGCTGGAAGATATTAAGCTTTCAAATTCAAATTTCATCATTTTTTTGCGGAATTTTTTCCTGATAAAGTCTGATGATTATGTTAATAATAGCTCTTGGACGATATTAACATAATCATCAGACTTTATCAGGAAAAAGAATTAAAAGACTAAAAGTCCATTTCCTGCACTCCCACTTGGACTTTTCTCTGACAAACCTAGGGGACGTTAGTCATGAACACGGAGAGAGATTTCACCAGCAATTAAAAGCTATGGAAGGACGGTATCAAGGTGTTTGGAACGAGAATATGTTAGGCGACTATGTGTGGACTCTCAAAAGAGAATTTGATTCGAATGACAAAGATAGCCACAAAACTTAAACTATTTTAAGAACAGTAACAAGCAGTATATAACCAAATTTATCACATACGTTTAAAAACTTGTAGCAACATAACACAAAATAAAAAACGAAAAACACAACGAAAAAAGTAACTGTCAACAACATTTAATGCCAAAGGAACACGTTCAGGTACCAAAAATGCAACCCCTTTTCGTTTGTATTGTGCCCAATCGGCAGTTGGGCTCGCAACAATCCAAAAAGTATTTTTTCATTTTCTTAGGTTTGGTTAACGAATTATAGCTCCTGCATCTGTCCATAGATTGTAATGAACAATACCCTAATCGACGCATAATTAATTTCGGGAAAAAGTACCGCAAGAAAATGATGAAATTTGAATCGGGTCGGATTTAAAACTGCATTTGTCAGGTTTTCAGAACTGCAAAGTTCTATGCAACCAGATATAAGATACTTAAGTTATTTGAAAAATAGAAGCACTACCTCTGAAAAAAAACATAAAAAAATACCAGATTTTAAAAAATTCGTTAAAAAAAATATACTTCTTTAAAAAATTAAAAATCCCTATATCTCTCAGAAAAATTCATTTTGGGCCACAGCGTAAATGTGGTGTTGACTAGTGTAAATTTTGGCTCATCGCTGCCACCGGCTCAATTGGAAATCCAAGCTAACACATATATGAAAAACAGAGATAGCATGAGGTAAAATGATAAATTGCGATATAGTCCGTCTCCAATCACGTCTTCCGGCCATCAGTCGATGAGTTTTGCCCTATTTGTGACAAAACGAAGCCTTCCGGTTAAATTACTAAATTTGGTTCTGACACAGTTTACACTAGATGTGTTTTTTAAAACGAAAAATTTTCCTTTACTTTTCAACACAGTTACGAACTATTTTTGGCTTTTCTGCATCTTTCTGCCAATTAGCGTAATTATCACCTATGGCCACCCCTGTGGACATACAGATACTGCTGCGATACGGGAGGACTAGGTGGACGTGCAAAAGCGATGCAAAAAATCTATCGCAGAATTGTAGCAAAAACCAAAAAAAAAAACATGAGAGCTGTAGTAAATGAAAAAAATTTCATTTGCTCTGCTCTCATCTCGCTCTCAGTTTTCAGCTACCTATCCAGCTACGCTGGGCATATCATTTCGTTTTCTGCTGTTGCTATTGCTATAGCATATGGCGGGACAAAACTACGAGAAGGTCAGAGCAAATACTTTTACATTTTTCGGCAATGGCGCTGTTTCAGCTTTGTTCAAAGTGAGAGCGCTAGCGAAAGCAAAACCAAATATTACGGAGTAGGTTAGCATTTTTAAACGCTGGATAATTTGTTGCACACCTTTTATGAAAGTGCTCTGCACCATCAATTTCAATGGTAAACAAATTACTTACTGTATTTCGTTGTGCCCGTACAAGCACAAACGATGCCGCACAGCTTGGTGATTCTGTGCCAAAGAAGGCCAAGGTGGGGTTTTCAGCCAATGAAGTCATGGAGCCCGTCTTTTTGAATGCACGCGATATTAACCATATTGATTACCTTCAAAGGAATACAACAGACAATGCCGAAAATTCTGCCAACTTATTGAAACCGAAACGAAAGACTTTGGACAACAAAACATCTCCGGTTTTCGTAAATTGTGTGTATTGTGTGCGCTCCGGTTTTCGTAACTTTTTGCTATCGATAGTGTTTCAATCCCAAATTGTTTTACGATATTTATCTTAAAAAATCTTTCTTTGCTTTGGAAATGGAAAAATTTTAGATAAATATGCCATCGTTTTGGCAATCGCATTACATTAGTTTTATTTATGTGCAATTCGTAAAAATCTTGCGATATACGAAAACCGGAGCATGGCTGTATGTTGTCAAATAAAAAAACTAAAATGCCGACAAAATCGTGATATATACGTATGTATATATATATACATATATATATATATAATGCAACGTTACTTGGACTCTATTCAAAGTTACAGAAGATCTGTTTGGAATTTTGTTTGTCCCTTGGCTGCCCGCAATTTGTTGGAGTATCTTTCGCTTGGTTTTCCAGTGCTTCTCCAGCGATTTCTGCTTCTCCTTCTATACTCCCAGTCATTCCCGACCAAACTATAATAGATTTTCTAGTAAAAAAAAGAAAATATGTTCATATTTTTGTGGGAGTTTTAGTTTCTTATCATAAGTAAAGTACAATAAGTGATGAAATATATGTGAATGGTAAATTAAATAGAATTTGAGCGTCGTTCGTCGTCTGGTCCATGATGCACTATATAAGGTGGTCTCATCAGCTGCGTTGAGGACGATCAACATTTTCAGCCCTCTCTCTCAGCTCTCAGAAAGACAAGAGCAAGAAAGAGATATCACTCTTTGTCTGTTGTTGTATACTGCAAACATATCGTCCTCAAAAGAGAGCAGATGTCCCGATGAGACCACCTTACATAAAAAATTGTTGCATCATGGTCTGGTCTCTCTCCATAACCTGTTCGTCAGAGCCTGGTTTGAAACTCTCTTTGCGTCTCTCTAGCCGATCTGCTTTTTGCTTGGGAGAGGAAAAAATCAAACACAAAATAAAAATAGTACGTACAAAAATCATAATAAGCTTAATATTTATAAATTCGATTGGTTTTTACCTAGCTTAGATATAACTTTAGATTTTTCTCAGACGTTTGGTTTAACGCAAACGAAAATGCTGCAAAAGTGAGTGCTCGAAAATACAAAAACGGGGACAAAAACAACATATGTACATACATATCGCCGCGACACATTAGTGATCAACGCGAGTTTCGTTGATGATTTTTTTTTTTTGGACTTCTCCCAAACTTAAAAGCCTGACCACCTCAGCTTTATGGCATCGATTTAAACAAATGGTTAATTAATAAACAATAAATAAATAAATATATATAAGAACAAGCTAAAGACGTTATTTTCGTTTTAATTGGCCCCAGCCAGTTTGAATTCATATTTTAAAAATACTGAAAAATATATTATATGGAACAATACGAAAATAAAAATAAATTATAGGTTTAAAGCTGGCTTATCCTAAATACATGTAAAATATAATTTTCTTCATTTGAAGAATTTTCACTCTTTTTATAGTTTTTGATGTTAGCTATTTAGCTAACCTTTGACGATGGTTTTGATGGATTTACGTCTCTATCTTACGTCTCTACCTAACAAGATTCTAATTTATTTATCATACTAAGAAGTTTTTTATTATAATAATTTTTTATTTTTTTGTCATAAACTGCACTAGACACTATAATATAATAATAATAGTGCATTTTAATTTAAATGACACAATTATCGCCAAGATATACACGCATACAGATATGTTTATGCATTCAAGATATATAACATATGTATAAAATAATACGATGAATTATATTTTAATATTACCATTTACAGAAAGAATAATAGCTGAATTTCAAGAAATAGATTATCCAAATACACTCGATTAACCTAATATACCTTATAATTACATAATAAAAAAAGTAATCATAATTTATACGGATATTGAAAAAATATCATGTAGTGCTGATGGTAACTTCGAAGTGACTCTTGCAACAAAAGCCACAATTTACTCTGAAGGATTAGTCGAATGGAAGCCGCCAGCTATATACAAGTCATCCTGTGAGATAGATGTAGAATATTTCCCGTTTGATGAACAGACATGTGTTCTAAAGTTTGGCAGTTGGACTTATGATGGGTTTAAGGTAGGTCTGTCAAAATCTGCCTTTAATTTACTTATAATTAATATACAATTGTTTGTTTTCATTTTTAATGTTTGTATTTATTCGATATTACTCTAAAATCAATTATTTGAAAAGAAGCAGAATTTCGACCTACGCTCCAAATACACACTATTCCGAAATTGCATTTACGTAACAATTTAATTTGAATTTCAACGCATTTTACAATTTTTTTTTTATTAAGTAATCGAAAATATATGACTTACACAAGTTAACTTGCTGATCAATATAAATATATATATAGAAATATTTAATGCACTGAAGAAAGTTCGTGAAATCATTTACTCTTATTTGAGTTTATAGTTTCCATTTTTGTACTAATTGCTACATATAATTCTTTTTGTTTTACAATGGTAAATTCATAATTTTGTACATACAATAAATAAAACTGTATTACATAAAGATTACACTACTCAACAAAATTAAAATTTTTCTTTCGGCTGTGGACCAAAATCACTTTTCTGATAGATATCGGGATTTAAAAACTTTTGTACTACATTATTTTTTTATTGTTTAGCTATTTCTAAAGAATTTTTAAAATCTGGTATTTTTTCATGTTTTTTTCACATAACATAAGTTGCATAGAACTTTGCAGTTCTGAAAAGCTTTCATCATTTTTTACTGTATTTTTCCGAAATTTTGACTTTAAAAACTCAGGAAAAGTCGAAAAAATATATATCTTGGCTAACATTTTTAGTTTTGGATATACGCATAGATATAACTAGGCGTCGTTTACGGTATCGTTTTTAAGAAACGATAAATAAACGGCCAAGTTGCAGCCGTTTGACCAAAACGACTCAAAACTAATTTTACCTGAAAAATACCGTTGCTGGTCCAATGCCAAAGGAACACGTTCAGGTACCAAAAATTCAACCCCCTTTCGTTTGCTTTGTTTCCTATTTTCGGTTGGGCCCACAACCTTCCAAAAGGTATTTTTTGTCTATTTATTCATTATTGAGCTTTGGTTAACGAATTTTAGCTACACCGTTTATCCATAGATTTTAATGAACAATACGACGCTTAATTAATGTGTGTATCTAAAACTAAAAATGTTGGCCAAGAATTATTATTTTTTCTACTTTTCCCAAGTTTTTAATGTTAAAATTTCGGGAAAAAATACCGCAAAAAAATGATGAAATTTGAATTTGAAAGCTAAATATCTTCCAGGGGTTAAGCTGCAGATACAAAATGTCTGGGTGGGATTTATAGCTGCACTTATCAGCTTTTCAGAACTGCAAATTTTCAATGCAACCAGATATAAGATACCTAAGTTATGGGAAAAATAAAAGCACTACCTCTAAAAAAAACATTAAAATAAACCAGATTTTTAAAAATTCTTTAAAAAAACTAAACCTTAAAAAAAAATTATCCGTTACAAATTTTTAAACCCCGAAATCTATAAGAAAAATTCATTTTGGGCTAAATGTCGTGTTGACTAGTGTTATTCATTTTTTTTTTTAAATTATTATATATAAGATATTTACATATAATTTCATAAAGTAAATGTCTATTTATTTTAACTTGATTTTTAATACATAAGCGTAAATTAAGGTATATTCTTCATAGTCCTTTTTCAAATATTAAATAACTTTTCTATACACTTCAATGCACCCGTGCATACAGGGATAGGAAAATAACTAATTTTTGATTAAGTAAGGTAACAGCCAAAAAATATAGACATTGTAAACAGGCATATAATTATGTACATTAAAGGTCAACGGTATAAATTCCCATGTATAATCTAATATTTACAGTTAAATATGTGTATTTATTAAGTTTAACTTACATAAGAAATAGATTTACGTTGTCATTCAATTAGTAATTGAAAATATGTACACACCCAGGTACACACCAATGGCCAAGTAAACATGTTTACAATTGATTAAGCCAGAAAATACTTTTTTCTGAATATAAATACGTAAAGAGTTGGCTGTGGATCAGGCAAAATATATAGCGACAACACCCGTTTAACGTTATACAATATTTTTAATATGTACTCGATTTGTAAAAAATATTATCTAATTTGGTCAATCTATTCAATCTATACTAAAGTTTTTAATACAAACCATACGAGACATATTAGCCTTTTTACACTGGGCGCATGAGGATCTTTCCGTTAAATGGAACATGCGACAATGGTGCCCATAAGAGCCCTGTGGATAGAGGAAGACAATGATGCGGCAGCATCTTTAATCATCATTGGCAAGTATTGCCATATTCTGTCTAGTATTTTTTACAATTATTCGGGGTATCGATAACAAATAGCTTTTTTTGTCGCATCAAACAATAACAAAAACTGAAAAATGATGCGAAAAAGATGCGGCTTTGAGGTAAACGTCTCGCATCATTTTCCGCACCTTCGACAATGATGCGGCAGTGTAAAAAGGCTATAACGGGACATATTTGATTTATCGTATATGATTGAAAAACTTTTTTCTCGTTACCAATTTGACAAAAATCAAGTATGTAATTTCTGAAGCATTTCCCCGAATTTACGAATAACTGGCCAGAGAAGCACCCTTTGGTGTTAGCAGCTTGTTTTTTCTCATTTTGGACATCGTTAGTCGAGCATCTAAGTCCATCGGCTTTGCCTAGTGGTTTGGAAGTTACATATCGTCTTTTTTGAGGTGCGAACACCGGAAAGGTGCCTCTCGGAAATAGTACGTGACAGCCCTTATCATAGATATTTTTCTCATTTTTATGCAAAATATCAGCAATTTATTTTTAATAGATAGAAATTTAAAAATTGTGCTTTGATTCTCACGAAACACGTTTTAAAGTGCACTATGAACAATAACATATCATAAGAAGAAACATAAACATGAATCTGCGATTTTGCTGATGTTTTGGTTTTTAGTTTTAAAATTTTTGAATTCACCTCATATGTTAATGTTTTGTGCTCCAATTTGTTTCGAATCAACTGTTAAGTATAAAATAATGTAATTTGTTTGATTATCCTGTTTAGTTGATTTTTTGAGGGTGACGAAAATCAGTGTTGTGAACATGCACTCACTTTTGCTCGCCACTGTATATACTAGCAGACCCGGCGAACATAAACCTTGAGAACAACATCGCTTGATTTCACATTCTTTGAAATTGTTTGGTATGCATTTATCAGCTTTTCAGAATGATAGATTTCATGAAAAATAAATAATATAATACATATAATATATAAATAAATTTAGCACCACCTCTGAAAAAAACATTTTTCAAACTGGGGGGGGAATTGTGCAGCGCAAACAAATTCACCACCATTCTTATGGTGAACTTGACTTTGAATCTGAATGTTTAAAAGCAGCTTTCAGGGAATTAATATGAGAAAAATTGATCCGACAATGAAAATGCCCACTACGAAAGCAACGCCACGGCCCAGCCGTTCTCAGTTGATCCAATACTATAAATTAGTTTTTCTCCATTTTTATATACAGTGCCGCTCAACTGAATAGGTTCAACAAATTTCAAAAGTAAAACCGCTACATCTTCTCAACCAAATGACCGATTTTGCTGAAATAATTGCCTGCTGAATTTTTGCTGCTGGTGTTGTCGAGTGCTAAGACCCTCCTTTCATATGTTTTCCATATGTTGTCTCATTTCGAATAAAGGTGCCAACTACATTATGGAATCGTCCTACCGAATTGTTTGACCAAACTCCCGAAAATCACATTTTACTGTTAATTACCGCTTGGAACGTTTTTGGCCAAACTGTTAGTGCAATATTAAAATACACAAAAATTCTAAACTAAGACGGTATTTGACGGAAAACAGAGGGTTAGGAGGGTTGGTCAAGCAATTTTAGCTCAATCTTTGATCTATATTTTTATAAGAAACATCTTCAACGACGCCTCATTAATGTACCTATACACAAAAAATACAAAGACACAAAATATAATTATATTTCGACTTGAGTTGACCTGAGTTTTTAACTAAAAATTTTGAAAAATATGCAACTAAAAAATAACACATTTTGCATTTAAAAGCTTGACATTACCAAGCTGGTAATCTGAAGCAAAAATTTTTAAGTTAATTAAAAAAACGTTCTGAGGTAGACGAAAGGAATAATTAGTTTTAAGTCGCAACCACAGTTGCGCGGGTGGCATAATGGTGTGGGCTGCTATTTCCTTTCAAAGAAATGAATGAAAATGTGTACAAAACTGTCATAAAAAGGCAAAAAGGCAGTCCTTAAAAGATCAAATATTTGAAGTTATATGAAGCCAGGGTGGGACTACCAATACCAACTTATACCTAATCGGTATATTATTTTGTTAAAAACCAACAAGATGAGGTTTTTGAATTTTAAAATTCTGGAACCTATTCAGTTAAGCTTAAATAAATAGGCATTTTTTGTAATGTTTCTGAAGGAAAAAGAGAAATTAGAGTAGTTTGGGGATGAGTGAGTTAGGAAAAGAAGAAAAAGAAGAGGCACAGAAAATAAAATATCGGGCGAAATGTCCGTGCAGTACTGCAATAACTACTTCTACTAACATGATATATAATGATATACATTTTTTTTAACTATGCAATGCGTATCGTATCATTAGGTTAGGTTAGGTTAACCCAGACGGCCCTCACGGGGCCACGCATAGGCCAATATGGCCCTTAGTTGTCCGGATGGGGGTGTATGAACCTTTCGAAAATATTTATGAGGTTTTGAAGTCCTTAAGGATCGAGGTGTTTTCCCCTGGCGTCCTCTTGGAGGCATCTTCCAGTGATGCCAGTACCGGGGCGCCCAGGTATATTCTCCTAGCCCTTGAGAGAGATGGGCAGTTGCAGATGAGATGTTCCAGGGTTTCCGTTGCCCCGGATTCCTCGCATTTCCTGCAGTGGCCACTGTTGGTGATGCCTAGTTTGACAGCATCGTATCATTTCAGTATCGATGCAAAATGATGATGTGCTAATGAGCCGCAGTGCGTGAAGGGTTATGTAAGCGAGCGTAGCGAGTGCGCAGGGCGCAGGGCGCTTGCCTC